CGGCCAGCAGCTGCACCTTCGAGGACCGATGCGTGGCCGTGCTGTGCTGCCGCTTCTGCCAGCAGGTGCTGAGCTCGCGGGGGATGAAGGCTGTGCTGCTGGCGGACACCGACATCGACCTCTACTCCACCGACATCCCGCCCTCCGGGTAAGCGCTGTGAGGGGGGTTGGGGGCGACTGGTCCCCACGGGGTCCTTCCGGCGGGGCACGGCGACGGCCCCGCGGTCCCGCATGGTCGGCCCGGGAGCTGCAGCTTGTCAGCCTCAGGGCCGCGGCCTGCCCCGCCGTGACCGGGCCGAGCGGGGCTGAGGAGGCCGCACGGCCCTCACCGGTTCCCTGAAGATCGCTCTCCAAATCCCCAGGACAACGGCCCCGAAGCGCACGATTCCAGCCTTTCCTCCGCTTCCCGTTCCGGCTGGCTCCCCTTCAGGCCGGGGAGGCTGCGGGGAGAGCAAGGCCGTGCCTTGCCCTACCCATCAAAAGTCTCGTTTAATCTGTTCGTGGGGAAGACGGAGGCTCTGGAAGCCACGGGGAGTTCCTCCAGCTCCTTCCTTAAACAAAGATTAGAATTTGAAATAAATATCTGTAAACAGAACAAACCTGATCTTGCACCGGTTCCAGAATGACTCTCCTCCAAGTTGGTTGTGTGTTGCTTTCCCATAAGAATATTTGAATACTAAGGAAATCAGATTGCAAAATACCATGTTAATAAGAAAGTATGGGTTAAAAAGGAGATAAGAAATCAAAGGTTTGGTTTTAAATGCCCTAGCCTTTAAGCTATTGTTCTGAAGTCTTAGCTGAGATTTGCAGGAACTAGGGCGACGTCTGTAACCAGATTTCTGACTGGGAGTGCCACGCAGCCAGCAGCAGGGCCCGAGCCTGCCAGCGTTCGGAAGTACCGAGAGAAGTGGTGCTGTCTGCTCTGATCTGGGAGGACTTGCGATGTAACGTCTCACGGGTCTCTTTTTGTTTCCATATGAGAACGGCTGGTAGCTGATAGGAAGACGTGTGCTCTTGGGAAAGTTTAAAAAAGAAACCACAAGGACTATAACAGTGGCGGCTGTGACTTCAGACCTGAATTACCAAAGCATTATAGTCGTAAGCATAGCCACATCTAAAATTCTGCATTTTTACTTTCTCCCCATCTAGTACTGTTGATTTCATCGGAAGCTGCTATTTTACCGAGATCTGCAAATGCAAACTGAAGAACATCGCGTGTTTAAAGTGGTAAGAACGCCCTTCACCGACGCTAACACCTCCTCGGGCACGCACTGCCACGGTGCTGGTTAACCTTCTCACTGGAGGCTACTGTAGTGCAAGAGTTAAAGGATGAATGAACAGATTGCATACTCTATTTCAAATTTAATGCTGTTTGATAGAAACTCAGCCCACTACTTCTGGGCATGGCTGCCAGTCTATTTCTGTGCAAGTCCCCAGTGGAAATGTGACAACCTTGTCGGTAGTCTGAGTATATGGGAAAGCTTGCATGCCACCTGCCTGATTAAATGTCTGCTTCAACACTGAGATAATTGTGTGAATAAGGCCGCAGTAAGAAGTAGTTACTCATATTCTAATTAATAGAACATCCACTTGGCAGATCTGGTTGTTGCTAGCAGATGGAACACGCTGTCACTAAAGTTCTTGGAGTTCTTTTATCCTTTTTATTAATGCCTGGTATTTAAGAGTGAAAACGACTCTCAAACAGCTCTCAGTTATTTGAGATGATCCTTTCAGCTTCCTAATCAAGACTTTTACCTTGTTCAGTTTTAAGCGGTGGGGAGTTGTGACAGGAACGCAGTATTTATTTTTTAGACAGAAGTATGGAAACAGAAATATCTCACCAGAGCACGTGACTGAGAAAGTAGAAAAATGGTTGTTCTAGGTTTCAACCCAGGAGAGCAGATAAGGCTTCGATATTCTCAGCCTCGTTACTCCTACTGCTGATACTCTCCCATGCACACTGCTGCTGTGCAGATGGATTCAATGTGCGTGATGAACTTCTACATTGATTCCAATGGAATCACTGGCCTTCCATGAAAAAAAAACCCAAACAAAAAGCCAAAAAAAAACCTCTGCACCATTTGTTGGTATGTAAACTAATCCGGATTACACAATTCAGGTTACTAAATAAACGGTTCTCTGAGCCAAAGATCTAAAACTTAGATATTCTGTAACTCCTGACAGATGTTCCCTAAATATTTAAGATGCTGGTTTAACTGTGTTCCCTTAACTTTATCAAAATTGGAGCATTACATAATGGCTGGTAACGTGGCTATTTAACATTACTTTGCGCTGGAAAAGCCAGCATCAACCTTTTCATCAGGCATTTGTGTTGCTCATTATGGCACTTGTCTTTCTAGTGGCAACATTGTCGGTTACCATGTGATTTCTCCCTGCAAACCTTGCCTGCTGTCCTGTAATAATGGCCACTTCTGGATGTTTCATAGCCAAGCAGTCTTTGGCATCAACAGACTAGACCCTTCTGGTAAGGAACACATGTTTCCTTCTCTTCCCTAAAATCTTGAATTCTAAGGCCTTCTAATGAGGCATCTCACTGTAGTTAAAGCATATGGAGCGAGTGTAACATATGGAGGCACAAGGCAAGCGTTTCTGTACTGCTAATCTGGCAAACTACTTTGGGGGAGGTAGTCGTAGCTACGTCGTAAATGAAGATTTCCAAGTGGAAATCAATCTTCATCAGAACACTTAGCCTACCCCTTCTGTGGGCAGAAGTCAGGATTTTCTGAAGCAGCATTATAACTGTATAAACACAGCCACCAGCTGCTATTTATAGCGGTATGTACGGCTTTACTGTGCTGTTAGGCAGCTGTCCCATGGGCACTCTTTTTTGGGTGAGTCCCTCTGACCCCTGTATAACTGAGTCCTCATTAGCTCAGGCTGAAGGTACAGCTCACGCTAGCTGGTTTCTTCACCTAGGCGGGGCTGGGATGCCAGGTGTCCAGCGCAATTTGCCTTCAGTCCTCAGGAAGATGATGATTCTGACAAATCATTTCTCCTCCTTGCAGATGGGTCTAAAACTTTCGGTGTCACCTGTGTTTCAGATCAATGCATTTAAAAATAAATCAGCCATGAGGGGATTAGCAATAGCTACATCAATTAGCTCTATAAATATATCTGTGGGCAGAGACTTATTCTTTGAACTGTGCTGTAAACAACAACGTTTACAAGATCACTTTAGAAGAAAAATAGGAAATAGTCTAGATATATTTATCATGAACGTGACTTACCAGTTTTGCAATGATTACAGTAGTTATTTTCTCTGAAAATAGACAGTTGTGCAACATAAAAATAAGGTCACAATCCAAAAATACTTTTTTTTTTTTCCCCTCCTTTGTTGTCTTACCTCCTTCCCGCCAGGTGTGAATGTATTGCTCTGGGGCAACTTGCCAGATTTGGAGGAAAGCACAGATGAAGATATGTCCTGCATCTCTGAGGAGGAGTATATCAGATAAATGTTATCTACAATAGACTGCAGTATCTTCCCTAGATTTGTTGCATTGCTGTTTGGTTTGGATTTGTTTTTTTTTCTTGCTGGCCCATCAGAGCTAAAACAATGCAGGAAACCAGGATACCTGGAAAACAATCCTAAAAAAGGAAGGCATCATCTTCCTCTTTCACTGTAGCCTTCCTTAGACTTGAATCTGCCTAGTGTGTGTGTTCTGACTGGAGACACGCCTTGGTTAGACCTGGAAATGCAGATGGAAGGTGCATTGACTGAAGTCTAGGGCTGGTTTGGTTTTTTACATTTAAGTCTTAACAGTGGATATGCCTTAACTGTATTTTTTCCTCTTTCCTAAAAAAAGTATTGACAGAGTAAAGTCTGTCAGTTGCTGTAAATACAGCTTAAAAATCTTAAAAAATATTCTGGTTGACGAAGTTCTGAAAGAGCTCTGCTCTTTTGGTCACACGGACCATTGCCCAGAGCTTCTGTTCTGAGTACAGGGAGTTGCTGAATAAGTGGCTTAAAATGGCTTTGGCCCTATGACCTGGCCCTCCTGCTTTTAGCAACTTGTCCTCTGGGCAGCTGAGGCACGCCAGGATGCTCCTGGCTGTGGACTGTGGAGCTGCCTTGCAGCGTCTTCCCGTCTTTGTCTTTCAGTACTTTCAGGATCACATTTCTGTAGAAGTCAAGTCCATTTTTCCCCCCCATAAAACCTAAATACTGCAGTTACTTAATGTCTAATAGAACTTCAAGACTACACTGGAGTTTTTCTTAAGGTCAACCATAAAATCCACCCAGTTTTACGTGTTATTTTTTTCCCCTTATAGGGGAGGCATCCCTCCAAAACAGATCTCAGTCATCCAATCGTGTCTTTTTAGAGAAAGAAAAATAGTTGGTGCTCGTGCCTAACCTTACGTCCTGAAGCGTTCAGACAATCTGGTTCCTGTCAGAAGCAATGGACTCAAAACTCATTGTGTGAGTTGTTACAGCCATAGTATTTAACTTATGAACCAAATGCTGTCCCCTTCAGCGAGTCACCTGAAGGATCACCTGCAGAAAATTCAAGGTCCAATCATGTACGAGAACAGAGCGCATTTTTAAATTTGGATTGATGCTGAACAAATCATTCTACGGCCTCTTGTGATGCTTGGAAGAGGTGCAGTGATGGCAGATCTGAATTGTCTTAGTACTTTTACTGCATGTTATATATTCCTTAATTAATGGTACTACCTCTTCTGCATTGTTTAAATGTGTATTGGTATATATATGTGTGTATATGTGTGTGTGTATGTCTTGTTTTGAGTTCCTGTGCTGTCTGCTCATTAAAGTTTTGGACTACATAGTCTGCTGGCTGTAACAAATACGGCTGCATAATGATATCAGATAATCAAAACAATGAAGCAGCATCTTGTATTAAACTAGTTGAATAATTTGGTTCTTGCTACTATGATTTTGTTTTAGAGACCCCCCCCCAAAAAAATCACTTCCTTTTTAGGTTGAAAAAACCTGACAGTTTGTCAGTCTTAAAGGTGTTTGGTCACTTCACTCTTCTATAACACAACATCCCGTTTTCTGCCAGTTTTTTGTGCTGCATCAATGTGATCACGTGCTGTGACTACAGTATTAAGCGGGCAAGGTGACATGTCACACAAAGAGTTTTCCAACAGAATTCATGAGCTAAAAATACATCTGTGGGTTTTTTAAGTACCACAATAGTTCAAATAAAATTCTCATAATATAATTCTGCTTCGTTGCAAGTTCAACACTTGCCATTTATAACCTTCGCAATTCCGAGTCAACCCTGTGTCAGCAGCAGAGCTGACTGTAGAGCTCCTCTCCCACAGAGAAGTCAAAGACTGTAATTTCTTCTCGAGTCGATAATTCTGTTTTAGCTCCCTATCTGTTTGTACACACAGAACTGGAAGTTCTGCTATGAACTACTTTAATTACACAGGCCTGTTTGAGCTAGTTCATCTCGACCAGGCATCAGCTTGAAATAAAAAATGAGCCAACTTTTAAGTAAGTTCAGTTTTGGGTTTGGTTGTTTTTTTGGCAACAAAGAAGTTGTAGGTATTCTACACAAAGTAAACAAACATCATCTCATGAATGTAACCAAACAAACTAATCATGTTCAGGGCTACTTCTATTCTTTCTACCTGAAATTAAACACAGAACTGACTAAGCAGCTTTGTGGGAAAGCCTCTGCTCCTTATTTACAGGGCCCCAATGTTTTGGGTTGCGTTTCCAAGGATCACCCTGTGCAGGGAAATGCTCTCCAGGTTGATAGATCTGTCTAACACTAAAGAGCTGGCACAAAAGATCAATATTTCTAGAAACACTCCCAAGTACTTCACCCACCCAAAGCTCCGTTTGAAATAAAACAATTCAGGTCTTTATTTTATGGGGTTTTTTTTGTTTGGATTTTTTTTTTCAGTACTGTTCAACATACAAGACATGTAAGTCGTAGCACAACCCTGGAATCTGTTGTGAATCATTTGGAAGGTGATGGTGGCAAGGCATTTGGTATCATAATGCTGAACGTGTTAAGACAGGTAGCTTCCAGAATGAATTTATCTGCAGGGTTCAACTCCTGACAGATCGATGGTCAGTCTGATACAGACAAAAGCTGGGCAGCTGTTGCCATCTTCGGTAAGGATTTTACAGCGAAATGTTAAGTGATCATTACTGTGCAGCCAAAGAAGTCAAAAGCAGAGCACAAAGCTGAAAAACAAGAACCGAGTCCTAAGGCCTTTCTCTTCTGCTCATTAAGGTTCACAAGAAAAGTAATTAAAGAACTTCAGCATCTCTAATGAGATCTGGTTTTATTCAGAAGGGACGGAGCACCAGGCAAAGGGTCTTGAATTTTAGACTCCAAGTCAGTGCTTCTGCAAGACTTCCAAAGTCTCCTGGCACCAGCAGCGCAGCCGAACTCGGCGCAGCCCTTGGCGCCGCTGCTGCACGGGGCGCTCGTCGGGCACCCCACGTACCGGGGCCCTGCCCAGCAGCTCTGCAGCTACAAGACGTTGTGTAACACGGGCTGGTGGGTTCAGGGTCACAGACTCGTTTGGATGAAAACGTTTGAAAGGAGAATTCCAAAAGCCAGCGAGGATAAATAACTTTGATTTTTTAAATCACAGGGACCCGGGTAATCACGCTGCCATCAACGGCCAACCGGTTTCTTTCCTGCAATGCGCAGTTCTAGCTAGAGGGGTAGGAGAAAGTCATTGAGAAATTGATTCCCCCTCATATTAAATCAGACTTACTAGAAAAAGCACATTTAAATATTCTTCATTGTTCCAGTACAGATTCATGCCTAATCATAATCTTACATTTATGTAACACCGTTCATCCCAAAGTGCTTTACAACAACAAACAGGGGTTTTTACCTGTTTTTACTTGAACTGGAGCCAGCCCCAGGATGCAAAGCAGCTGCCAAGCAGACGTCATGCTGCAAGGACCACGGTGGGCATCATTCTGTAATGAAATCCAGTATGTGATCTCTGTCACTACAGCCCCATACGTTGATTATTGAGGGAGGTTCAACTTGAAAGACACTTTTCTTACACCGCCTGGAATGCAGTTCGTCCGCTTTGAGCCAGGTGACGGATGGGTCACCTCTCCTGGGACGAAACCTGGAGTCCTGAGGTTTGAACCTGAGAAAGAGTCCAGTGATAGGAGAGTGAAATTACTAAGCTTTCTTATTTTCTGCCCTTCTCTCTGGCATGCAAGAGCTGGCATGCTTTTTAAAGTCAAGTAAAACGGTCATTTATTATAAATCACCCAATTACTTTGTCATGAGAGGTCATTGTTGCATATTTTATTACGTTTACGTCTGTGCGGTTTCTGAAAGCATACCCCAAGGAACAGTGCACATCCCAAGTAAACAGCCTTTGTGTGCTGTTATTTGGATTAAGGGAGTGTCTACAGGCTAGTACAGTGTAACAGCTACGGGCGCCTGTTGTGCAAGAAACTGTACGAGCGCAGCTCCTGGCAGGGTGACTTGCACTGCAAACAAAGGAGCCAAGGGACGCTAAGGGAACGGCCCCATCAGCTCTATCGGGGATCAGGGGTAAAGCCCGAGCTGCGTAAGCCTGAAGAGGCGACTCCTTAGTTCCAAGACTACCACAGAGAACAGAGTCGTGCCCGTTCCTGCAGCCATGGATCACCTCTTCCTATTCCAACCGGCATTTGCAAGTCTATGAATAGATTCAGCTCTTCCAGCACACAGTCTCGATCGTCTCATACTTAAGGCAAGGACCCTTCTCTACGCCAGTGTTTCTGGATTTCTACTGCGTTATTAGGTGTTTCTCTTGCTCTAGCGTACAAAGTGGGTATGGCCTCTAGACAAATATCCATAAGAAGCCTACAAAGAAAGCAGGTTGTTCCAACCCTGTATAGACACAGCAGTCGTAGAGCCGAGATGCGCTCTTCAGTGTATGCAGCGTACACGAGTGACAAGAGAGAAAGGCAGGATGCCTGCCTTGAACATCTCCTGTGAAATTAACTCCGAGTTGTTGATGCACCACCCAAAATTCCCTCTTCTCCTCAGGAAATACCAACCATGCTATTCTCTGAAAAAGCATCAGCATTTCCAAGCAGCTATTAGCCAGGGGGACATTTTAGCTGCTTTGCTGTCTGCAGCGCCTCTTGTCATCTTGCAGGCGTGACACAAGCTTAACAAAGTGAGTCTGCACTCTATTGATTTCTCATTAGAAAGCACGCCTCACGTTTTGGACAGCAATGAGGGGAAAAAAAAACCAACAGGGAACAAAGCTGGTCAAATAGAAGCCAAACAAAATCTCTGGTGCTTCACTTCTTATGTCATCTGAATGCTGACAGCTTGATGTCTCTGGGTAATGCCACACGAGGGAAATTAGCACCATAGCACTCTTAGGCACTGCCATCTGCATGTCAACGTATGTAGAAATTCGTGCAGGCAGTTATAAAGCAAGACTGATAAAAAAGACTTGATCTTTTGCGTTTCTCTGACTACACTTATTTCCTGGAGGAAAGTGCTAATTAAAAATAACCCAGTATCGCTCCAACGTAGCTGCAGCCACACTAGGATTCTTTCCTGCTGTGCTATGGCAGAAGCTTATTAGTTCATCCCACTCCAGCATATGGCCTGTTTTGGAATAGGAAATTTCCACTAACAGAGGAGACAATGCTGGAAATGCAGGTGTTTGGGGGCTCTCATCCTAACTTACATGGGAACATAAAACCAAAGAGAAACTGG